GGCGCCCCTGGCCCCCAGCCTGTCCTCGGGCGCGGCAAGTGACAAAGAAGGCTCCCGCCTCTCCGGGGCCGACGGGCAGCGCGCTCTGCCTCTCCGGCGACCCGCAGCAGGGAGTCGAGCTGCGAGCCCCACACTCCCGTCTCTCTGGAAGCGAAGCAGTCGCCCTGGCCCCGGGTTTTGCCCTCGGGGCCGCCGGGCCAGCTCTGCGATCTGGAATTGGGATGGCGGAGCGGACTAGGTCCGCTCGGAGGACGTTTGTGCCACCGGGAGTGGAGACCCAAAGGACGGATAGGAGCTGTCCCGGGCACTTCCCCCTCCAAGAGAAACCAGACCCTTCTGGTTATAGAGAGAAAGAGAGAGAAAGGTGTCCAGACGCCTGTGTGCCGCCAATGGTCCGGTCCCACCGATGTGGGCCAACATTCCCTCTTTCCGAAGTGGCAGCGAGTGCACGCTAAATATTTTAATTAATCGGGACAATCGAAGTCCTATGTACGTTACCTGGGGGGTCCCCACGCCCCTTCGAAGAGGTGAGGTGGGGAAAGATGCGTTAGAAAGCCATCTATTTTGCTGGTGTTGGGGGTTAATGTCTATTGCCAAAGATAAGTGAATTATCTAAGCTGTTGCTCGGGTCCCATCTCAAAATCCATTACGGTCCGGCCGTCTAATTAAATACGTAAGTATAATAAAATCATATTTTATGACTATTTGAGGATAATGAGATTAGTCTTTAGAAGCGATCGCCACATATTAAAGATGCCACCGTCTACAGAATGCTAATAACCTTAAATCAAAGTGTGTAGAAACTATTCATGATGAATTAAAAGAAAATGTCTGTATTCCTAAGAAGCCCAGCGCTTGTCACTCACGGCAGAGGCGCGTGGAGGAGGGCGTGGAGGAACCACGCAAATAAAGTTAGCGCTGGGCGGAGGTGGGGTTGGGCCACCGCTTTGTCTCTGCTGCTGCGCCTAGCCGCTCTGGGGGACAGCGGCCAGGCGAGCCAGTGTTATGGCCAGAACATGCCAAGTGTCTTTTCCAGGGGGGGGAAAGGCAAAGCCGAGCCTAGGCACCCAGGCAAGGCTTCCTTTGGGCCACACTTCCTCAAATGCCCAGCCCTGTCTGGAGGTAGCCCTTCCTTGCGCAAACGAAAGGACCATGCTTAAAATCATTTACAGTATCTTTAATTCAGATTACACACGCGCCAAGGCGATTTAAATCTGATTACCAAATTAGAAGGTTTAAAAACAAATCCTTCTAAATCTGATACTGTTGACTAAAGAGGAAAAAAAAGTTTTCTAAGCCCATCACATAAGGTAACGATCCCGCCCCAGAAAGAAAGGGGCTTTTAAACCTTTTTGACAACAAATGCAGCTGCCCCACTATTTTGGACGATATTAAGCGAAAATGAATGCAAATCTGCGCTCAGCAGCCATCTGGCCCAGAGTCGGGGAATCAGCTGCTCTCACAACAGGCTCGGTGGCTGAATCCATTTCAGCTCATTTTCTAGATCATCTGGTCCTGCACCCAAAGCGTGGAAAATACGGTCTTTATCATTCACCAACTTTATCTTTTTTGTCACTCCACTGCTGGCTGGGAGTAGCGGGCAAGAGGGTGCTCAGCCAGTCCAGGGTCTCCACTTCGGCCTGCTGCGGAGCAGCCCGGGAGGGTAGGCCTCTGGGCCCCACCCCACTCGGGATGGTCGCCGCCGTGGGCGGGGGCGGGGGGCCCTGTCCCCAGAGGCCCCTGCGGGGAAGGGGATGCAGGTCAATTCCTGGATGGCCTTAGAGGTGCAGATCCTGTCCCCCCGCCCCGCCGCCTCCCCGGGCGCCCTGCCCCTCCCTGAGCCCTGGCTGAGGAGCGAGTGGCAGGAGGGGAGTGGGGTGGAGGGTTGGGGAGCAAACGGAGGGACGGAGGGGCCGCGCGAGGCTGGCACTTGGGAAGCTGCGCAGGCCGAGGCGCTCCAGCCCCCCGCGCGCAGCGCGCTCCCAGGGGCCAGACGGGCGCCCAGGGGCCCGGGTTGGGCGGGGCCTGACTCAGCCCGGGACCCTGCGCGCCGCGGCGGCGACCGCTCAGGGCCCCGCGCCCAACGCGATTTGCACGGGTGGCCCGGCGCCGCCGCCGCCTCCTCGGAGGGTGGGAAGCCTTCCTTTTGTGCGGATTTACGGGCGAGGCTTCAGTCAGCCCCCACATTTGCATTTAAATAGCAGCATCAAGCGCTTCGCGTGCCACACACCAGTGGGCTCCCAGATGTCACGCCGGAGTCAGTCAGATGGCCAGTGCCCAGCTGTCCTCCCCACGTCGTGCGGGAGCAGGCAGTGACCTTAAAGAGACAGCGCCCCGCCGCCCCTGGCGCTCGGTGCAGGGAGCAGCGTGCGAGGCTGGTGCTCGAGGCTGCGGCGGAGCTTGGGCCGCTGCCTCGGCTGCATCACCGGAGGCCAGGCAAGGCGGGCCAACGATGCGGGGCCAGCACCCAGGCTCGGCTGGCCTCCAGGCTCAGTCGTACGGGGCCCAGAGCCAGGACCACCCGGTTCCCACTAACCCAGCGGGATTTCGGTGTCTGCGTCCCCCAGACATCCCGCGCACCCGCCCACCTCCCCAGTCCCTGGCTCGCCACTGTTGCTGACTGAGCAGCCGAGAGCCTAGAAGCCGCCTAAAACTTCAGCCAAGTTGGGTTCCCAGGAAGCGCGGGCCGGCTCACGGCTGTGCCTACGGAGCGAACAGTGAGGCAGGCAAGGGTGCCTTTCTGGCTCAGGCCGAACCGGGTGCCCTGCAACCTCCCTCTAAGCCTATAGTAAATGGCACTTCGAGCAGCTGGACCAGGAAGTGCCCCTGTCACTAGGAGAGGACTAAGGCCTAGTCACCTACTGCCTGAGGCTGACCGGAGAGCGGCCTCTTCTCACCCAGTAGCAGGCCTGGCTGCAGCCCTGTCCAAGTTCCGACTAGGCACCGCTCACACACTAAGGTCCAGGCAGGAACTGGATAAAGTGGAGTCAGACTAATCCTGAGCCCCTGCCATTAGAGGCCTGAGGTCAGGAGGCCCAGGGAGGACACATGTAAATGGCTGCCTACTCTGTGGTCCAAGGATCTTTCTGCATTTGCAATTCCTGCCGCCACGCCACGGGTGGCCTTGGCCGCCCGCAGGTGCCTGGGTTTTGCCTGGGGCTCTGGGGGTCACGTCTCCTGTGGGCCCCGGAAGGTGAAGGGCCAGGGAAGGTGAAGCACCAGGGCTACTCACTCTGGCCACCCTGACCCGTTAAACTGAGCTCAAAGAGGGGTGCACCAGGTTCTAGGTAGGTTTCCAAGGCCCACACTCAGATTCACAAGCGTTTGAAGGCAGATAGCCCAGCGGACAGTACCCAGGAACCTCAGCGGACAGTACCCAGGAACCTCAGCGCTGGCACCAGAGCCACATGAAAGGTACCTGTATGTGGTGCTGGAGGAGACCTGGCTGGGTGTCTGGGTAAAAAGCCCGGATGGGTCCCAAACCCTGGTTCTCAGCACGCCCCAGATTCCCGTACCTAGTCTGTGTGGCTACTGAGTAACCCCGAGTACCAAAGAAAGCTCCATTCTCCAAGGGAAGGCTTCCAGGTGCCTCCTGCCAAGGCGGTCAAGTTTGACAAACAGCGCCTCCTGGGGTGGGGAGAGCAGAGTGCCACGCGCAGCCTGGAGTCGAGCCGCAGGGCTCCAATCCACCCAGGCCAGGTGGCCGCCCTGCTC